TTGAAGAGACTGTCTTGACTCCATTGTATGCTCTTGCCTCCTTTGTCGAATATTAATTGAGTGTAATGGCTTGGGTTGATTTCTAGGTTCTCTGTTCTGTTCCATTGATCTATATGTCTGCTCTTGTGCCAGGACCACTTCCCATGTCTTTTTAAAAGAGCACTTATTTAGGTATTTTGTAGAATGTCCCTCCATCTGTCTGGTGATTAGACTGAAGTTACAGATTTTTGGGAAGAATACCAGAGAGGTGATGTGCCCTTCTCATATTCTATCAGGAGCTACACAGTATCAAATATGTCTTATTACTGGTCACTTGCTTATGATACTCTCTGCCAGGTTTCTCCACTATAAAGTTACTATTTTTCCTGTTCTGTAGTTGGTTTTTTAGAATCAAAATTATTGCTTTTTAAATTTTGATGTACATCAGTGTGCATGGGACACAGTTTGGCAACACCCTCCAATCTTTTTTTTTTAACACCCTCAATCTTAATTGTAATCATAATAATAACAGCTAAACACATGTAAATTACCTAATTTAATCCTTAGGATATCACTGTGAAGGAGCACTTTTTCATGCCCATTTTTCAGCTGAGCAGACTGAGGTACAGGGAGTCTTGCCTAAGGTCTAGTTAGTGATAGAGACGGATGCTAACTTAGCTTAACTTGAGGGCTAGCTTTTCACATGGGCCCTATGCTTGTTGTCAGAGCTTAGAATGGGGACGTTCTCATTCTTTGCCAAGGAAAACAAATGAGTACTTCCTACGTTTGACAATTCTCTTTTGTGCTTTCTTTAAGAAATATTTTCGTTTGTTTGCTTTTGCTTTCAGGAAGATTCCTTGCGTAACTGATTTTAGTAAGCTATGTCTGGCAATATCACCTTAAAATCTTGGAGAAACCCAGGCTACTTTGAGGAGCACTAAGGTTCTATTTTTAGACTTCATTCAGAAATATGACTGAAGGTTAATGAGGGCAGAGTATTCAGAATAGAAACCTGCTTTTGGAGAAGGAGTGCTTACCTAAAGAAAGGCACCGAGCCCTCTCTCCTCCTGGATTTTATCAGCCTCTCCTAACGGGTGTGTGGTGTGTCGTGTTTGTCGGTGTGTGTCTAAGCTCCACTTGTTCACTTTTGTTGGCCGCACTAATGACTTTCCTACTACGCAGTCAAATGTGTCTCTGAATAGCCTGACTCCAGGGATGCTAAGTGTGGCTAAACGGTGACTCAGTATCTGTGAGCCTCTATTGTAGTGGCAGTGGGACCACTGTGTGGGTGGACGTTTGCACATCTTCCTGGTGACTCACCCTGCAGCCTGCCTTTCTGAGGAGAAGTAGCTGTAGGTGGCTGCAAAGTTCTACTCGGCTTCTCTCTTCTCTGTCTCATCATACTGTGCAGATTGGGTATCCCCAAGTCCTCAAAATCACTCAGCTGGGTGTCTTGAATGTACCTAGTCTCCCAAGCTGTCCACAGATCAGTGCAGTTTTTTAAAACAGAAGTGTTTTGTTTCTAAATGTCTGTTGTAGGTCTGGCCATAGGTGCCAGAGTCCACAGGTTAAACAAAACACGGCTCATCACCCAGAGACAACCTGGGCAAGCATACTCACAAGAATTGTAGCATTTATTTCCCTTGGAAGGAGGAAGGCAGCTATTAGAATAAGCCTGATTCTTGCATACAATAACCATAAATTTTATGAGTAGAAAATTATTGGAGGGATTAATAAGAGAGGTGAAGTTTATAGGT